TATAATTTCTTGTTCAGTTATTAAGTTCCATTGTTCAAGTCCTGTAATTGCTGTGTCGAGAATTCCGAATAACTTGTCAATCAAAATTTTTTCTCGTTCAGTAACCTCTCTGTTACTTTCTTCACTATCGGTAGCTGTATTTTCTGGATTTAGAACCATACTACAGATTTCGCCCTCCGTTAATTGATTGATGATTGGGGCATTGTCATCGCAATGAAAAACTTCTGTTTAACTTCCCTAAATTCTGCCGCCTGGTGCGGCCATGCGAGCTCTGGCGCTGGTTCTGGCTTTATGTGAATAACAAATCAGTTATTCTTATTCTTAATTCAAATAACAATAGCACTAAATATAATCGTTTGTCCTATGAGTATCATTAACAAAATCTATTTTTAGCATAAGGAAAGAAATTTCTGTTAAATCTACCCTTGTCAACATTTTAGCGCATTAAACTTAAATCTGTAATCAGATAATACTCTGTTATTTGGCGTCGCTGCTGCATGAGTCATCACTCAAGTTGTCATCCGTTGATAAACATGCGGTGATGAAAGCAAAATACAATAAATAATGATTCGCGATTTCGGCATCAAGGATATAAAATATTAGTTGGTTGTAAAATTAACAAATGTTTCGGTTTGAGATTATGCCAAGCAGATACGCAGCTATGGAGTCAAGTTACTAATCACACAAATTTATGCTAAAATAATTATTTCTTCAATAATGAGATATTTTATTTAGCGCCAAAACTGAGATTAAGAATCGGGATTTCCGACATGTTTTTTTATGATGAGGAAAAAAATCTAATGCGCATGCGTAAAAGCATACCCCTTCCCTCCAAAAAAGCCCTAAAAAATTGGTTGGTGGTGGCTTTGAGGTCCGGATTTTAGATCATTCCAGATATTGGATTTTTATCTCGGATATTGTATACTGTATATATATATAGTAAAAAATGTATATTTTCAGTATACATTTTATTATATATATAGATTCTTATTATATATATATATACATACATATATATATATAATATTAATGCATACTTAATTTTACTAATGCCTTGCATGTAATGCCCCTTTTAGCTGCAAAACATCTTTCCCTTCTCAACTGCAGAGTTTCTTCTAACAGTATCATGAATTTTGTCAAGTTAGAAGAACCATCTACTTCAGGAAAAGATGTAACTGCTAATTCAACATCAATAAGTGTAGAAAATAATAAAATCAATTCTTTTCTTTTCAAATCTGAAGTTACAGATGCAGAAATATTGTGGGCTTTTAAGTGCATCAAAAGCCACTATTCTTTTAAATCGTGCGATGATATTGGGCCGTTATTCACTAAAATGTTCCCGGATAGTTCCATTGCAAAATAGTTTTCATGTGGTGAAAAGAAATGTGCTTATATCTGTTATTTTGGTCTTGGCCCTTATTTTAAAACTTTGTTACTAAAGCATTGTAAAAATGCTGAGTTTTTTACATTACTATTTGATGAGACTCTTAATCTGACAAATCAAAAGAAGCAACTAGATATTTATGTGAGGTACTGGCATCACGAAAATAAGGTCAGAACTCAGTACCTTACTTCTGCATTTATAGGGCATGCAACAAGTGAAATTATTTTATCCAAATTTTATGAATGTGTTGAAAAACTAGACTTGTCAAAACTCTTACAAATATCGATGGATGGTCCTGCAGTAAACTGGAAATTTTATGATTTATTGCAACAGGACTTGACAAAGGAATATAACATTCAATGCTTGACATTAGGGACATGTGGTTTACACATTCTTAACAATGCTTTCAAGCATAGGATGTCATCCACTGGCTGGGACATTCCATCATTCTTATCCTCCTTATATTGGATTTTTAAAGATTCTCCTGCAAGACGTGAAGATTTTTTAAGTATATCTGGCTTAAAAAAGCTACCTGTGAAGTTCTGCTTTTACCGATGGTTGCAAAATGTCCCAGCAGTTGAAAGAGCCATTGAAATATGGGATGACTTGCTACTGTACATTAAAAGAAGTTGAAATGGGGAAGTTTAAAAAAAATTCATCGAAATCCTTCTCAAATATTTTGGAGGCAACTAAAGATAAAACATTTCTTATAAAATTAAATTTTTTTCTCTCTCTGTCGAAAATATTATTGCCTTTCCTTGAATATTATCAAAGTGATAAACCACTTATTCCCTTTTTTGCTGAAGATATCTTAAAACTTGTAAATGATTGCCTTCAGCACTTTAAAATTTTGAAACTAGAATATTCAAAAATAACTAAAGCAGAAAATCTTTATAAATTTAATTTTAATGATCCAAATTGTTATAATGATAAAAGTAAAGTTTATTTGGGATTCATTGCTGAGCAGTTAATGAATGATAAATGCCGCAAGAAGGACATTTCACAAGCTGAAAGTTTTGCATTGAAACAAGAAGGTCAACAATGTGTCTTAACAATGGTACAACACTTAATGTCTAAATGTCCAATAAATTATTCTCTTATTCGAAATGCATCTTGTATAGACCCGCGATTGATGGTTAAAAGTCCAGAAAAAGCCCAGAACAAAATGAAAATAGTTCTAACGGTATTAATGCCGAAACGTGTTTTACAAGATGATTGGGATGAAATTCTGCTGCAGTTTGGAGTTTCTAGACAAATTCCTATTCATTTTTTTGTTTGCTGATAGGTCCTTAATTTTTTCTTTGATGGTCCTTAGAAGTTCTTAAAAGTCCTTAATTTTCATGTAAGGAAATGTGTACGAACACTGTAAAAGTAAAGATCATGACAAAGTGATGATTGAATGGTCAGACAGAGATGCAGCGAGGGCATACAATTGACGGGTCCAATGCTAATGGCACAGGCTAAAATATTTCATGAAGGAATGAACTTGAAAACTGAGTGCACGTATTCGATAGACTGGTTAACCAAATTTTAAAATTGCCGTTGTATATTGCATTATACGTTTCTAACATATAGTTAGAAATTTCTGGTGAAAAAGCTTCACCTGATACTGAAGCTGCTGAACTATTTGCAGATGAATTCATAGAACTCATTAATAGTGAAACTTTATCTCCAGGACAAATTTACAACCTGATGAAACTTGTCTTTTTTTGGCAATATGTACCACGAAATATCTTGGCAACCTCTACAGAAAAGGCTCCAACTTGTATCAAAGACTCCACAGCTAGACTTACAATTTTAGCAGGCACAAGTGCTGCAGGAACGCACAAGTGTAAACTTTTCGTTATTAGAAAAAAAATACACGACCTTGCAAGGAGTAAAGGTTTTTCCGTTATATATCATGCAAATAAAAGAGCATGGATAACACAAGTGTTAATGTATGATTGGTTTGAAAATCACTTCATCCCCGAAGCTCGGCAAAATTTGAATTCGTTTGGTTTACCTGATGACACAAAAACTGTCCTGATTGTGGATAACTATCCGGCTCATATTTCACTTAAAGTTTTAATGAAAGGTAATGTATCCGAGTTATTCTTTTCCTCCAAACTGTATGTCCATCATTCCGCCTATGGATAGCAAAATAGTGCCAGAGCTGAAGTGTATATCTAAAGTCGCATTTTTAAAATCCATGTTAAATTTCTTGAATAATGGCAAGACTATTCAAGAATTTTTTAATATTTTATCTGCTTTAGTCTGCTTGTGTGGAGCATCAGAAGATTGTGAGAGGATCCGTCTCCAGATACTTTTCAAAATGCTTGACATAATTTATGGCCATCTACCATATTTCATGGTGAGGATGAAGAAGATGATATCCGCAAATTTGAATGTTTTAAGATATCTCAAACTAGAAGGCAAAATTTTCCAGTTAATGGATTTTGTAAAGAATTGTAGAGAAGTGGTAATAAAGGAAGATGATATAACAGATGTTTTTCATTGCGATGGCAGTATCCCAGTCATCAATCGACAGACCTCGAAATCTGTTGTATGATTCTAGATCCAGAAAATATTCTTACCAATAATGAAGAGAGTGGCAGAGACGTTATTGAAAGCGAAAAAAATTTTTAGTTGACAGGTTAGTCCGAATTCTTGACACAGCAATTACAGGACAATGGATTGTGAAGTTGAACCTCTACCTGATTATTATCTTTATTTTGATGTAATTTAGTAAATCGCGATTGGCAACAGTTGAGTTTTTACATCTACATTTTCGAGTTTGTTCTATTGTTTACTTTCGTTTTAAGTAATGAGAATAATGACTTTTTGAGATGTTTTTTATGAGTATTTAAAAACTGATGAGTAATATTTTATGCCATTTATGTTCTGAGTATTGCTTTGAGGTGTCAAAGCTAAAACTAACACTTAATTAGACTTGTAAATAGAATTGTAATATTAAACTGTTTGTGTTGTGACGAGATGTCTTTCATTGGATAATTGATTGTATACTCATTTTCCATCATAATTCTTCTGATATCGAAGGTAAAACGGGATATCTGGCGTCCAAGAGACAGGACTACGGCTGCATTTTTAAGAGTGAGTGAAAAAATATTTTATATTTTCTTTTATTCTTTGTGCATTATGGATATTGTTTTGAAAGATAGAAAGCAACTTAGAAGGTTGTTTACTCGAGCATGTAATACTTTTGATGAGGAAGAAATCAAATTAAATCGTGCTGATAAAATTAATAAATTAAAGCTAATTGAAGAGAAAGCTTTATTAATGATAGCATGTGAAGAGAAATATAAACATTTGTTGTATTCTGAAAATACTTCCGATACCGAAATAGAGAAAGCGGTAGATGAGTCAGAAATGTATATTGATCGATGGAGATCTTTAAAACAGAAGCTAGAAACACTAGTGAGTGAACAATTATCTTCTAAAAATGAAAAATTTGAACATTGTTTCGCAGCCGAACACTTTATTACGTTACCCAAAAATAAAATTACCTACTTTTGACGGTAGTGTACGAAATTGGCTATACTTTTGGGGTCAGTTTCAAAAAATTGATGAGGACATTAATATCGATTTTCACGATAAATTTTCGTATTTATCTCAAGCAATGGAAAAAGGCAGTCCTGCTGAAGAATTAATTAAGAGCTATCCCCCAGGGGGTAATAGTTACGAAAAAGCTTTAAAACAGCTGAAAATGCGTTTCGGCAGAGAGGAACTATTGATTCAGGTATATGTCAGAGACTTATTAGTATTAGTTCTTCAAAAAACAGAACACTTCTAAAAATTCATTAAGAAAATTGTTCGATCAACTTGAGAGTAAACTGCGATCACTTGAATTATTAGGTGTTACTAGGGAAAAATATGCTGCAATGCTTTTTCCACTAGTTGAATCATCATTACCCGAAGAAACTCTTGTTGCTTGGCAGCGCTATAGATCTGCTCATCGTAGAATTCGAGAAGTGAATTTAGATGATTCAGACGAAAGTAAAACTATAATTGAGAAAAGTGATTTAGAATGCATTTTAGAATTTTTACAAGCCGAAGTTGAAGCTGAAGAACGCATTTTTTTAGCCTCTCAAAGTTTCAACACATCGAAACCAAAAGCAGAAGTAAAACATAATCCTTCCTATGAGAAAAAGGTAATAGAGAACAAATGTAAGAGTAGAAATTTTTCAAATATACCTAGTGCAACAGACCTTCTAACTTCATCTCAAGTATCAAAACAGTGTATATTCTGTTCTAATTCACATTTTTCTGGAGACTGTCTAAAAGTAAGAAAAATACCTTTAAGGCAGAGGGAGTCACTGGTTCAACAATCTCACAAGTGTTTTTTATGTTTGAAATCCAGACATTCAGTCAAGGATTGTAACTTGAAAGTTGGTTGCTTGTGCTGTGGTAAAAAACACCACATTTTTCTGTGTAGAAAGATGCACCAAATAACTATGTCAAAAAACGAAGAATCACCTGAAGTTGAAAAGAAAACTGAGATTAGTGCTGAAGTGGATCAAGCTCTTTCAAATTTATCTTCTACTCCGGACGTAATGCTTCAAACATTCAAAGTTATAATTAGAAGTAATGGGAAAAAACGCGTCGCAAGAGCTATTATCGATACTGCTTCACAGCGATCATATTTATTAAGAAGTACAGCTAAAGAAATGAACTATGAACCTCAGAGTTGTGAATATTTACAACACTCTTTATTTGGAGGGAAGGACTCAGGGATATGCAAGCATGATGTATACACTTTATATTTATCGAGTGTGCATGGGAATTATAATTGCAACTTTAAAGTTCTTAGTCAACAAATTATTTGTAAGTCAGTGCCACCTACTGTCAACAAGCTTTGTCTGAAAGAGTTAGCAGCCTGTAATATAAATATTGTGGATGATTGTCAAAATCCTATTGAGATTCTTATTGGGGCTGATGTAGCTGGAAAACTCATGACAGGTGGTCGTCGTGAGTTGCCTTGTGGTCTCGTAGCTATTGAGACCAAATTTGGATGGTCAGTTATGGGACGAATGCCGAATACTTCGAAAAGTGAGTTTTCATCATCGTTCTTAGTTACATCCTTGTTATCTACTGTGGAGACCATAACAGATCTATGGACTTTGGACACACTTGGGATCACTGACCCATCAGTCAAGAAAAACCAGACTGAACTACAAGAAGCTGCTCGGTTACATTTTCTAAATACAGTTCGTATAGTCGATGATCGTTTCGAGGTTGATTTGCCCTGGTTGGAATATCATCCACCACTAACAGACTATTTTGACTTAGCCGAGAGAAGACTGAACAAAACTGTTAAACGTCTTAAAATCGAGTCCAATTATGAAGCTTATGGAGATGTTTTCAAGGAATGGCTAGAAGAGGGAGTAATTGAAGAGGCTGATAAAAATTATCAAGGGCAAGTTCTTTACCTTCCTCATCGAGAAGTTATCAAAAAGAATAGCACTACAAAACTCCGACCGGTATTTGATGCTTCGGCCAAAGTAAAGGGATTTCCTAGTCTTAATGACTGCTTAGAAAAAGGCCCAAATCTAATAGAACAGCTTCCGAGTATTTTAACACGCTTTCGAAAAGAAAAGATTGGTGTTATTGCTGATATACGAAGAGCCTTTCTTCAAATAAGTGTTTCACCTACTGATAGAGACTTTTTGCGGTTCTTATGGCTTGATAGTGATGGTCAACTGAAAGTGTACAGGCACTGCCGTGTAGTTTTTGGTGTAGCAAGTAGCCCTTTTCTTCTAAACTCTACTATTCAGCTTCACCTACAAACTGTTTTAGAGAAAATAGAAACCGGTGAATCCTTATATACGAAAGGTGTCATTCAAAAAACTTATGCATAGTTTTTATGTTGACAATTGTGTCAGTTGTGTTAAAAAAATGAAGAAGAACTCAATCATTTTATTAGTGTATCAACTGAGGTAATGGCTGAGAGAAAATTTGAGCTTAGAGGGTGGGAGTTCAATGATATTAATGCTGATGCTTCTGCTGATACAAATGTGCTCGGTTTAATATGGAATAAAAAATCTGACACTCTAAGAATAAATACTGGTAGTATAAAAGAGTTATGTTTTGAAAAAGTGACTAAGCGCTTAATCTTATCTACAGCTCATAGATTGTTTGATCCTCTTGGTATATGTTGTCCTGTTATCCTTATCCCTAAGTTATTACTTCAAGAAACTTGGAAGCAGAAGATAACATGGGATGAAGAAGTTGATACCTGTACGAGAACTACATTTTTAAAATGGTTGAAAGATATTGAAAGATATGACTATCTGGAAAAGATCCATTTTCCAAGATATTTTGGTTCAAGGAGTACGAGTGAAAATACTTCAGTACATATTTTCTGTGATGCCAGTAAGCATGCTTATGCCGTGGCTGCTTTCATTCGTATATAAAAACTTTTGATTCTACTAAAGTACAAACTGATACAAGCCAGGAGTAGAGTTACACCAACTGGAAAAGAAGAAGAAGAAAACTACTATCGCGAGATTGGAATTACTTGCAGCTACTATAGCGTCTCGCCTTTCGTCCTCAATTTTGTCTGAGATACAGAGTGAAGAAGTTTACTTCTGGACTGATTCTTCTACTGTTTTAGCATGGATAACGAGAGAAGAAGCCTGGAGTGTATTTGTCCAGAATAGGGTGAAGGAAATAAGAAGACTAACAAATAAAGATTCTTGGAGACATATTCCTGGTTGCATGAATCCAGCTGATCTTCCGAGTAGAGGTTGTTCAGCTCTCTCCTTATTGAAATCTCAGTGGTGGTTAGGTCCAAGTTGGCTTTACTTGCCTGAAGAAGATTGGCCTAAAGGTGACTTAAATTTAGATGAGACTGAGATTGTTAGAGAAAGGAAAAAGAGCATAGTTTCTTCTGTAACTAAATGCTTAGTTTCTGCATGCTTGGTTTCCAAGAGAGACTGGTATTACAGATATTTTTCCCAATACAAAAGGATAGTTAATCTAATTGCCTGGATCCTAAGATTCACCTCCAATTGTCTAACTGAAAAAAACAGTGAGAAAGCATGGAGACCTTGATTCTGATGAAATTTTTGAGGCAGAGAATGTATTGATCAAAATGGTTCAAGAAGATTGTTTTGTGAATGAAAAGGATGAGAAATTAAGAACTTTAGGAATATTCAAGGATCAAAGTGGAATCCTCAGACTAAAAACTAAACTTACCTTTCGTGAGGATACAGAAGACTTTAAAACGCCAGCTATTCTTCCATCCAATCATGAGGTTGTCAAGAGACTAGTGCGATACTATCATGAGAAAAATGCACATGCTGGTACTCAAATTTTAATAAATATTCTACGAGAGAGATTTTGGATTCTGAATGCTCGTAAAACTGTGAGATCTATCATCAATCAATGCACCGTGTGTAGAAGATTTTCTGCAAAGAACCTAGAAACTTGTACTGGGGCTCCTCCAGAAGATAGATTACGAGAAGCAGCTGTATTTGAAATCTGTGGAGTTGATCTTGCGGGACCAGTAATCCTGAAAGGCAACAAGAAATCTTGGATTTGTTTATTCACCTGCGCCATTTATAGGGCAGTCCATTTAGAGTTGGTTGAATCGATGTCTACTGAGAGTTTTCTACTAGCTCTTAGAAGATTTATAGCTCGTAGAGGACGGAGCAGAATCATATACTGTGACAACGGAACCAATTTTGTTGGTGCTTCAAATGTACTTCAAGACTTAAACTGGAAGCAAATCACTGAAGACACATCTATACCACCAATTCAGTGGAAGTTCAACCCACCAACTGCCTCCTGGTGGGAGAGATTGATGGGAATTCTTAAGAAATTGCTGAGACGAGACGAGTATTAGGAAGAGCTTCGCTAACTTCTGAAGAAATGAACACGACTCTCTGTGACTGTGAAGCAAGTAATTAATTCCCGTCCATTGACATATGTAACTGAAAGTGATGCTACTTTAATGCCTTTAAGTCCATCTCTATTTCTGCAAGATAATCAAATAAGTGGTGTTCCAGATCTTGATGACATTGGGCATAAAAGTCTTAATAAGCGAGTCAAATATAGAGAAAAACTTGCAAAAGGATTTGAGAAAACAGGTTTAGGTCTGAATATTTAGGAGCACTTATTCAAAAAGCAGGAAACAAAAAATCTGTGAAAGTGAATATTGGTGATATTGTATTGATAGGAAGTGATAACACCAAGCGAATCAATTGGCCATTAGGTAAAATAATTCAGATTCTTCCAGGAAAAGATGGAATTACAAGACTTGTCAAGCTTAAAACAGCTAATGGACACTTGCTAAGACCAATTCAAAGATTGTATCCACTTGAAGTTTTCAACGATGATCCCATTATTGAGAAATTTTCAACTGCGAAGGTGGGAGGTGAAACCTGTGCCAATTCTTCGTTTGATAATGTGTGTGGACTTGAACCTCAGATTCAAAAGACTAGAGCAGGTCGTACAATCAAAGTACCTAAGAGACTGGACTTGTGAACTACTTATAATTTTCTTTTTGTAACTTATAAAATATTCACAATTTTCTTTTGTAAGTTAAAATTTTGAGGTAAAAATATTAACTTAGGTGGGAGGATGTGAAGTTGAACCTCTATCTGATTATTATCTTTAATTTGATGTAATTTAGTAAATCGCGATTGGCAACAGTTGAGTTTTTACATCTACGTTTTCGAGTTTGTTCTATTCTTTACTTTCGTTTTAAGTAATGAGAATAATGACTTTTTGAGATTTTTTTTTTTTTTTTTTTTTTTTTTTTTGAGTATTTAAAAACTGATGAGTAATATTTTATGCCATTTATGTTCTGAGTATTGCTTTGAGGTGTCAAAGCTAAAACTAACACTTAATTAGACTTGTAAATAGAATTGTAATATTAAACTGTTTGTGTTGTGACGAGATGTCTTTCATTGGATAATTGATTGTATACTCATTTTCCATCATAATTCTTCTGATATCGAAGGTAAAACGGGATAGGATCTTTGTAACTGAAGAAATTATATCTGCCTATAGAATTAAAGAGAAAGTATTAGCACAAAAACAAAGCAACTTAAACAGCTTACATTGAAAGAAATGTTTTGATACCTTGTAGATATAAATGCTTCATTATTTCATAAATCACAATTTCATATTTGTAATTTTATAATTTCTACATGCCATCTTACTAGATTTTATTGAACTACTACTGTTTCCCCCCCCCCATCAAAAGTTAGGTGTAATGCAGTATCTCTTGCTAATATATTGTTATGCTAAGGTTTTTCATACCTTAAAAATTGTGGTGAAATGTCTTTGTTATAAAAATACTATAGGTCTCCAATTTTTTTCAAAAGATGATGCCACCAGTGAATAATGCTTAAAATTGTCTGATGTAAAATGTCATATCATAAGGTTGAACATCCGGCAAGAACATAATCTTGAAATATTAGCAGTTTTATATCAGCATCATATGTTTTTCATGAATAAGCATAATTAATAAGCATAATTTGTGGAAACTTTTGATTTACTTCTTTAATATGATGAAATCAACAGCTGAGTCACATCGATCGCTTGTAGAAGTATATGGTCGCCTTAAGTGAGAAGTTGTCGTGAGTGGTTTCAAAAACTAAAGAACTGATGTTGAAGACAAAGGTGTACAAAGGCACAGAATTAAATGAAGATCCATGCCAAATGCAATTAGGAGTGACTCAACAGGCAATTTCACATCATTTAAAATCATAGGAAATGATTCAAAAGCAAGGAAACTGGGTTCCGTGTGAACTGAAGCTGAGAAATGTTGAACACCGATAAGAAATGAATCCACTACAATAATGATGATTTTTTCAAAGAATATAGTTCCAGATAAGTGAGGGCAGAAAAGGAGGAAGGTTTAAGATCACAGTCCTCCTTTCCTAATTTGTCCACCATTCCGTTGCCATAAAGATCCATGAGAGGGGATCCACTGTAAATAGAACTCATTGTGCTGAGAAATTAGCTCTATTTCTTGTAAGATAGAAATACTGATTTTCTTGCCAACAAGAATCCAATTATCAAGATGTTGTAATGAGTTATGGCTATCAGATAAAACCCATAGATCACCAAAATTCTTTTCTATTAGTATAGCCTTGAGCCCCAAATTGCTATCAGTTCACTCCTAAAGACAGAACAGTGATTATGACAGTCATTTTTCCCAAGGGGGCTTCTCGGTATAAATGCCTCTTCCTGCTTGGTCAGCAATTTTGCTGCTATCTGTGAAGATCTTAATAGCATTTTGGGGAATGGGGCTTATTACCTCCAAAGCTACCTGTCTTAGGTATGCAATGATAAAATCCTTCTTATTTACAAGAGTAGTAAAGTTACAATTAAAATAAACCCTCAAGAGTCCTTCTGATGGATTCAAACAACACTGTAGCAAGTGGGGCATCAGTATTGCAAGAAATCAGCCTATGAGACTCAACCAGGACAAAAGGGCTGTAGTCTTTGTCAATTTTCCCACTTATTTAGGGTACATTGCCATTTTATTGTATTGGCCATAACTAGGGAGTTTGTTAAAGTATCTAACAAGAACAGCTAGTGTACTAGTCTGGAGAGGTTGCAAATCGGCCTAAAATGGAAGAAATTCTGTAGGGAAGCTGTGCCTCAACCAGTAATGATATGCGCTGCACTTAACAGAACTTTTGCTAATTTCACTTACTAACAGAACTTTTGCTTTTGCTAATTTTGCCACTGTAAAATCATTAGGATTTTTAAAGTAGGAGACATAAAAAATGAGCAGTGCCTTTGCTGGGACTTGAACGTGAAGCTCTCGAATACACGTTGAATAAAGGAATCCATTGAAATGCATATTTTTGTAGATACGTGCAGAGAAGCTTATGCTGTGTACATAGGACTGTTACAAATTTTAAGTGACTCTTTGGAGTAGCTATCCAGCAGCTGAAAAGGGGGATATGTTGTGAATGGCATCAGTTCAATTTTTGGAAAAAATTTGGATATGGGAGGGGATGTTGAGAACGGTGGAGCATGTTGAAGAAGCATTTCTGAAATAGTTTGCCACTCAGAGAAAGCTGTAATCTGCGTATGTATGAAAAAATGCTTCAGGCAAAGGCAAGTGAATTTGCCAGATTCTTTGGATAGACTAGAAAAGAATGAACAACAAATATAATAACTATAAATCTTAATTTGATTTTTTAAGTTAGATTTATTATTATTCAATTCTGTTGGCCGATGTGGTTAAATCTTTCTGTGTGTGTGTTTTATTCATTTTTCAATTTTTTGCATGTTTTTGTGACATAATTCACTTTTCCTATAGGATCAGAAGTAACGAAACAAAATTCTGATGATGTTTGTTGTAGGGTTCAAAGAAATAAAAATATGCAAATAGAAATGCAGCATCGTAAAGATGTCCAATTTTTAGAACCATAAATATCTTTACTAAATCTGACATTTCAAAAATGGAGACAAAACATATTGAGAAATTAATTATGCAAAGGAAACTGCCTTTCAAAGAGATATTGTGGAAAATATTTGCAAATTAGCAGATGAAACAGAGAGCAGTCGAAATATATGTTTGTGTATTAAAGAAAATGAACAAAAAAAAAAGGTGTTAAAGGGGAAGAAATTGATATGAGAAGGCTAAAATATCTGGAAAAATTTCAGTTAAAGAAAAAGCATAAATATTTTGTAGTTTTATGAATGTTTTTATTTTTTAATGTGTAATTGTTCTAATCGCGTTTTTGAAACCAATGTGATGAATTACATGTGCAATTATCTGTTATTTTAAGCTGTAATATTTCTTTAAATTTTGATATAATACTTTTTAACAATTATTTAAAAACATAAAATAATTGTTTAACAGAGATCATATAGATCTTTAACATTCACATAACTGCCATAGGTATAAAATATAAGTGTTTATTTTCTACAATTTGTAATCTGATGTATATGCATAATTAGAATAATGAATCTTATGCACATTTGTTTTGTTCTTAAAATGGTATAAAAATACTGGGAGCATAATAATGGTATTACAAGTCAGTTGCATAGATAATAGCTTTAATTTATTCAATTGCCATTTGTTGAGAGGTCTTAAACTTCTTCATTCATGGTTCTTTAAAGTATTTGATTTCCGTATATAGATGTCTATATGAACCCTGACTTTGGAAATCATGCATATCAGAAAATTTCATTATAAGCATGTTACTGATTTTAGGACTATATATAAAGTTGTTGTATATATAAAGTGAATGAGTGAACAAGAGTAAAAAATAAATATATTTCTTTACTACAGTACAAAGTCTGTAATCTGGACATCCATTATCCGGAATGATCTATAATCTGGACCTCAAAGCCGCAAACTTTTTTTTTTTTTTGTATGCTTTATGCATGCGCATTTAATGTTTACGCATGCGCATTTAGCACAAAAAAGGAAGCAACTTAAACAACTTACATTGAAAGAAATGTTTAATAAAGTAAGCAAATAAATATTAAGCTCTTTTTTTTTTTTTTTTGTAAATTTTGATACCCTTTAGATCATAATTGCTCTTTATTTCATAAATTACAGTTTCATATATTTAATTGTATAATTTCTGCATGCCATCTTACCAGATTTAAATTCATGATCTATAATCCGGAAAACCCCTTCATCCGGAATCGCTGAAGTCCCGACGAGTCCGGATTACTACTTCTTTTAAATATACTTTTGAGGTCAAGTGAAATACGGCATTCACCAATTAGCCTCCTTTCGGCAGCAAAACTTGAAGTATCATCTTAAGTAAAATGCTCTTAAGATGACTGCAGTCAAGAGTTGTCAGTGCCTTATATTATGTGAATGCTTAACTTGGTTAAATGAGATTGAAGATTTTGTACGGATCTTTTGAATTACTAATTAATTTACAATTATGTTCTAGGGGTGATTCATGTGAAATTCGAGTACATGTTGATGGAGTGGCTTCTGAGCATTGTGCTATTTCCATGGATCAAGAAGGCAGAGTAAGTTTTATTATTTGGAATATTTTATTATTAACATTGGCATTAGCATTTTCAAAGTTTCATTTATCTGACTTACATACAGTTACACCATCAGCCCTAAAGCTGCTAACAATTACAAATAGATCAATTGGGCACATGGAAAATCGCTCAAGGTACAGAAATTCAGCTTCACTTAACCCTACACTGCAGGATTTTAAAATTTTCCTTGGAAAAAAAATATATAATGAAAAATATTTTTTAAAAACTAACTCTAAATTTTCACTGTTTTTTTAATTGAATATATACTTGTTGCCAAATGGCAACAACATGCAGTTGAACATAATAAGTAAAAAAATTAAACCGGGCAAAATGACTACACCATGTATTCAACAGAAAAAACTTACTTTAAATGATAGTCTCTAAAATCCTTTTTCTCTTTGTAAAAGCATAGAGGACCTGAGCATTTGGTGCACTGTATTCTAGTAAATCCTTTGCAATTCATCATTTTACATCCTTGTTTATTTCTAAAGTGCTCTGGCCAATGATTAATTCTGTCAAATCTATCTTTTAGAGGCTGTCTTGTGCAAATTTTTTTTCCCCCCCCTCGCTTGTTTTCCAATTATTTCCTCTGGCTGACACCCTCCCTCTTTTTGGAAATTTTTTCCCTCCGTCTAAGCACAAAGTTTATACTAACTGCAGTCTAAAATTGGTAAGTTTAGATGCTTTTCAGTGCTGAACGTTTGTGCGCTCTCTTATTTAACAATCAAGATTTGGTAATTGTCAGGTCTAATAGATGAAAATATCACTTTTTGCTTCCCGTGATTATTTTACACCTTCCAGTAAAACTATCAACTAAGTCCACACCTTCCATGTGCTTGTAAGTTGTTACAATGTAAGGACAGCTTACTTTCTTATGACACTTTTCTGTCCTGTCAGAGTGCTGTACCTTAGGATTAAATGTAGGATCTTCATCACTTCCACTCTAAAGAGCATTCCATATTTCATATGTCAATATTTTCTTTTTACCATTCATATCAACAAAGTAAACAGACCTATTTGCTTTCAGTATTTTTTAACCTTATACAGGGTTCGTAGCGGCCCTTACAAATATGCTTATAAGTCCTTATATTTGAAAATAAAATATAAAGGCCCTTATAGGTGCTTATTTTTCTTTAAAGCCCTCATTTTTTTAATTTTTAGTGCTTATTTTTTGCTTTTAGTGCTTTTTTTAATGAGCGCGCCTTTCCCCCCCGTACCTAAGCCGAAACTAAATAAACAACTTTTCTTCCTTATATGCAACGTCAGATGGTGAATCATACTCCCGGAAATTGCTTTACCCCTGATGCTAAAGCAAGGTTTAAAGTTTAAAGAAATTAAACATTTAGCAGTAGTAGCAATAAAAGCTCCCTGAGATATGTTGTGCAGACATTGAAGACAATAAAAGATTTTGAACTCAACCAATTTATTAACTATATAATAAAGAATAAAAACACAGAAAATAAATGTCAATAATATTAGAGTCTTAGGAAAAATATTATATAACCATCATTCATCAAATATTTTTACCTGGTTTCCGAAAACACTGGCATTCTATACAAACAAAAATGTCCTAAACAGTAATTATGCGGCCTAAAAATAAAGCTGGCTACACATTTAATAAGTTCATGATCAATGGTCAAGAAAAACACCTGAAAATTTAAATGAAGTTCTTGAAAACACTTAAAACCGGCCTAACTCCGTTTGCACAAGGAATCGCCGTTCACGTATTTTTAAATTCCGCCTTCATTGAAGAACATGGATGCCACCCACGGCAGTCACTCGACATGGTAGCTTCTGGAACCAAAGGAACTTTATTCTGGAACCATCATCTCCCAAACCGGAATCAAGGCATTTTTATTCACCGGACTGCATGCATCCTTTTGAAGGGGCTGGAAACCGCTCACTCACTTGCCGGGAAACCAGGAACTAGAAGGGTTGAGCTTAGAGCGACGCGAGATACTTATAGCAGAAGTAGGAATGACGTCATCTCACGACAACCAATCAGCTATCGGCACGAATCGGCTTTTCAGATGACGTAACATCATGTTTCGTTTTTGCATCTCAATTAGGTTGAAACAGTCCGTTCTCAATGCAAACAGTGGCAGCAAGAAAAAGAAGTAGAAGTAACTACTATATTACATTAAAATAAGGACTAAACTAAATAAACATTTCAAGGAGGAGAGATGATGCAGTAAAAGGTTTAAAAATAAGCTATATTTTCCAACAAATGCCTCTCACATCATCATCTCCGACCTGAAATAAAAACCGAATGCCAGTATCTTTACAAAATTCAAGCTAAGCAAAACAAGAATAAATGAATATCACAATTTCATTCAGAAATTTTTAAGAAAATTTTTCTTTGGGAAAAATCTTATCCCATTATTGAAAAATTTTACCGTAGCTAGAAAGTCCAACATGTTACAGAACAATACAAAGACATATATGATCACACGCTCAATACTTTTACCCAGGGCCCTGGTCATTCATACAACATTCTACACTATACAATTTTACATTTACCTAATATCCATCATATATGATTTATAGCATATTAGTTTCAAATAAACAAAACTTAATTTAAATACACACAAAAACAAATTTCATAAGAAAGTTGTTCCACAAAATCTTACCAGGTTATGCTTAGTCAGCGGTTTTGTCATGGGATCAGCCAGATTATCTTTACTTGGGACATATTTTAAATCAAAAATTTCCCTGTTCAATAGATCACGAATGAAAAATAGTTTCACATCTATATGTTTTGTCCTCGAGTTTTCAATGGGTGATTTTGTGTAAAACATATAGCAGCCATATTATCAGCAAACAATATTGGCCTCGAAACATAGTTAGTTACTTGCAATCTTAAACCGAATGCATTCATCCAAAATGTTTTTAAACCAAACTAATTCTTTTGCTGATTCAGTCATGGAGATAAATTCAGCCTCCATAGTAGATAAACTCACTCCCCTTTCTTTAAATGTACGCCAAGATACAGGTGATTCTCTCAACAAAGCTATTTGTTCACCAATAGACACCATATCATCCCTGCTTGAAGCAAAATCCGAATCTGAATATATATTGAGCTTCAGTTCCTTGCATACCAGTTTGAGTTTGTGCTGTCTGGTATTGGAAACGTACCCTAAAAGTTTAAGTAATCCTTCCCAGTGAAACTTACCAGGATTGCTTTGGAACTGAGAAAATATATTAACAGCATAAGCTATATCCGGACGAGTACGATTGCAAAGAAACGAGAGACATCCCAAAACATTTCTATAAGGATAATTCATCATTTCAGTCGTTTCTTCTTGTGTACTGGGACTTTGAGACTTTGAGTATTTCACACCTTTAACTATTGGAAGGGAAGTAATTTGTATTTTAAAAGACTTAATCGATCAACTATGTCTTCTATATATAATTGCTGATGAATTAAAACACTATTGTTCTCATATTCAAACTCCACACCCAGAAGCTTTCTTGTTTTACCTAAAATTTTCAAATCAAAATGTGAACTCAGGACTTTTAATATCCTTTTGGCCTGAACTTCACTTTTCCCAAACACAACTATATCATCAACATAAACCAACAGAATGACAAAATCTTTAAAACGATAGACACAATTACACCACTCAAACTTGATGAACCCTAGGTTACATAGTGTTCTATCCAACTCGTAGTACCATAATCGGCCACTCTGATGCAAACCATACAAGGCTCTATCTAAACGACACACAAAAGTTTCTTTATCTCGCTCTACAAAACCCTGAGGTTGGGACATGTAAATTTCCTCTGATAAAGGAGCATAGAGATAGGCACTTTTTACACGTCACATTGTATATTTGCCCATCCAAGGTGTGCAACTAAAAGGAGAAAAAGAGCCTTATTACTGAAAAGTTGACTACAGAAGAGTAGTAGTTTTTCATCATAGGTATCGTATTTAATTTGCCGATAACCCTGAGCCACTAAACGAGCTTTAAAACGAACAATGTTTCCAAATTCGTCACGTTTAATGTTGAAAATCCACCTGCAACCTAGTGGAGTCTTGTCTTTAGGAAGTGGAACAAGATGCCATACCTTATGCTTTCGCATGTTGGCCATTTCCTCTTCCATTGCCTCTATCCATTTAAGCTTTTCTGTGGATTTCATTGCCTGGTTATAAGTGTTTGGAATTGAAACATCTAGTCAGCTATCTCGGGTATACGACGTTGAAGGAGTACCAGTTGGGTCGATTTCACCACTATAAGTATTGCTTCTCTTGAAATCAAACAAGGTAGGATCATATTGAATATTATGTTCAGTGCAATACCTTTATGATTTGGTGATCGTAGTCTTTGATTAGACCCCCTCTCAAAATAATACACATCCGTACGAGTGCCGTCTGCCCTTGGAACAGGTTTACGATGCCAAGTTACTTGTCTCATTGTAGATTGAGTATCAGTGCCAATTGTAGAAGAAGGTACGTTGGTATCTGTTCTTTCCTCTATTTCAGGAAAATAGCCAACTGGAGTGTCAGTAGATTGGAACTCTACCCTTTCTTCAGATTCCAAATCAGGAAGGGTGCCCAGTGCAGCTCCACTGCCACTTTTCTGCATTCCAATCGACTCTTTAAAAAGTAGCATTTAGGGTTTCTACTACCTTTTGCTCATTTTCCAACCAAATCTTGTACCCCTTTTGTTCGTACACTGTACCCAATCAATCGGCCCTTTGTTGCCTTTGGATCAAGTTTAGAATTTCTTTTAGCCTTTGGAATTCCCACATAGGCAATCGTTCCAAATGCCTTAAGATGACGTACTGATGGTTTCCGCTTAGTGTATAATTCGAATGGGGTTCTATCTTGGCCCTTATGACAAATTCTATTAAATGAATATGCAAAATACATTACTGCATCTGACCAAAATTCGGAACTCATTCCACTATCGTGTAAGATTGCACGTACATTATTGAGAGCTGTCTGATTAAATCTCTCACAAACTCCATTCTGTTCTGGA